TAAATCATACAACGTGATGTATAAATATTTTCATCAATGGCCTGTTCTTTGAATTCGTATTAATCTTACATACCGTTACACTCAAAATTTTTTTTACCAACCAAAGATGATTGTCCCACGGTCCTTCCATCACGAAACTTTTGTTCAACCCATTGAAAACCGGTTGTACAATTTCAACCGGAAACTCCGGTAACTTCAACGGCTCAACTAATTCAATAGCTATTTATTCAAGCAATATAAATTTTTTCGTGCAAGTTTACAGCATATTCAAACTAAAATACGTTCTAAAAAAATATATATACCATTTTATTAATTTATTATCTATTTTAAAAAAAAGATTTAACCCTTCGATACCACATACATAAATTTCGTGATATATTATATAAATTTTGCTATATAAATTATGTAAAAAGTGCATAAAAAATATATATTAAAATAATTTTTTTTCAATCGAAACGCCAGATATTAAGAAATATAATAATAATAAATAAATATATGTTTATCATTAATGAAAAATTATAGCATATAAAATAAAAAAGAAATAGTCGAATATGCTATACTTATAGTAACACCAAAGAGTTAAAAAAATATGTGGAAGGATGATATGTGTTTGTATTGCATATAAAACAAAATATCATTAATAAATAATCATTAATAAAACAAAATATGTTATTACATAATAAACGTAATGTCTAAAGATTGCTTCTTATGAAAAGTAAATTTAAAATTAGAATTTAAATATATGATATTTTTATCGATGACTTTGCTTCCTTTTTCTTCGCTCTAGAAAGCAATTTCTTTTCTGAAACGCTATTAAGCGTTTCTTTCAACAATTTAACAATAGACTATGCTTCATTATACGTGTTAATAATCGTTCGACTTTTTCAGTGACTCGAGACCACAGAGACACGCGATGCTTTCTGGAGAACGGAGCCACTGCGGCGCATCTCTTTGTCAGAGAGGATCTGCCCGTCGGCGATACTGTGGGAATTCTCGGAGTGCTAGGTGATCCCGGCTCGAAAGGTGATATCGAGCTAAGTTTACAAGAGCATGACAGTCCCGTCGCATTCTCGCCATATTCAAAGAATTTAACTCTCATCAGACCGCTCGACAAAGAGGGTATTGAGGGACCAGCCAGTGTTTATATCAACGTTATCTGCGGAAAGAAACCTACTGCAGAATCGGTAGAATAATCTTTAGAAACAATTACATTAGAGTTAAATATTAAAATAATGAAACAAATATTTTTAAATGCGATATTAATTTTACTGTCTCCAGATTTTATGAAAAATTTTAGATTAAATTTTAGATTAATTAAATTTTAAGCTGAAAATATAAATTTTTTTTCCGTCTTTATTCCGATTATTTATCTTTATTTATATTATAAATTTTATTATAAATTTTATAATATAATTAGAAATATTTATAG